AAAACCGCAACTATGCCACTGATAACCAGTTTCTATTATCTGGCACACAATATGGTCGGCGACGACCGCTATATCCATTTGCTACTCAGCCGTGGTTTGCATTAGCAAGTCCTACCACGACCGAGTGTTTCACATTTGACTACAGTAGTAAGCCCGTGCTGATCATTACAACTGGCAGTTTATGTAATACTCCTACCTCCGTTCGTGCTATAAGAGATCACCCTGTCGCAGAGATAGTCTTCTATTACCTTAGGTAAATTTTTTTTCTTTTCATTTGGTCTTCAACCAATTGCAGCTCGAGCGTAAGCTCATTGTTGCTTATGTCTTCTTTCCTGAAGATCTCTTCCTTTTTCTAAGCCTTTTGCTTATTTTAGAGGTTTGTATCACAGTTTTCTTTCTTGACTTTGTGGGTCTCTTAGCTGTCTGAACCATGTTCAGACGTTGCCCGTCCCTGCCACGTGGAGGCGGATCCTCTACTTTCCCTTATCCCACTTCCTGCTCTTATACCGAATATTTGCCTTGCCAGCTCGTTGGATCTTGCTAGCATTTGCTCGTTTGAAATTAGTCCCATCTTTGAGTTTCTATAGGACTCAATTCCTGAGAACCTGACTCTCTCGTATGCAGTACAGGTGAAGATCATGTGCTCTGGTGTTTCTTCCGATTCTCAGCACATAGGACATGTGCTTGAATCGGTCAGCTTTCTTTTGCACAAGGTATTGTTGATTGATCCGTAGCCAGTTATTAAGTATACCACGTATCAATTTAGTTTGAACCACTTTCTGTTATTATGTGCAAATGATACGTCACGTATATATTTGAATGTTTCTCTTCCATGTTCCTCTGCCTCCCACTGAGCTTGCCACTTTCTGGTTATGAATGCTTTTATTTTTTCTATTTCAGTCTTAACTATTTGTTTGAACTGTTCACTTCCTCTTTCTCTGTACTCGTAAGAGTCCCAGGTTGTGTTCAGGTTTCTTTTCACTCTTTTCAAAAGTGCTTCTTCTACAATCTCGAGGTTCATAGGCTTGGTGCCAACTATTACTTGCAACTATTGCCGTAGTAGATGTTGTTCGGCACGCTCTGGAAACCAGCAATAGCAGAGTTCTTTGGAGAGCCAGAAGATGCCTTTTCAATAGTGTCTTGTTCGTCACATCATACCATAACAAAGACCCATATCTGATTATTGGGAGCGCTACCGCCCCATATAATGTTTTGAGCATATTTAACTTAATCCTCCATTTTTCCGCTTCAATCCTTTTTATTGTCATCACAAATTGCGTCACTTTTGATCGTAGATATTTCGCGTGTGCAACAAAGGTGAACTTCCGGTCAACCATGACTCCTAGGTATTTGCATTGTTCCACATACTTTACGTTTTGGTCATTTAGCTTGATTATGGGCATTCTGCTTTCGTTCATGCTTCATTTGACCATCATGGCGACGGTCTTAGAAGCTGATATTTTTAGTCTATGGTGTTTGCACCATTTGTTCAGTGTTTCTATTAATTTGTGTGAAGAAGACTCCAGAGTCAACCATGAGCCCCCCCCCCCCCATCACACACACAAGATCGTCCTCGTACGCAACTGTCTCGACGTAGTCTTCCGACAGTTCCCGTTGCATTTTATTGAGCAGTGCGTCCATGCAGCACCCTCGTGCAGCCGACCAATAATGGAACCTTGGGGGCATCCTTTTTGCATTTTCCTGCTGTATTTTCTGGCCATGCGTTCTATTGTCACCTTTCGGTGCCTGAAATAATTCTTTATGACGTTGATATATGATCGTTATGAGCGATCGTACCCGTCGTTATTATTTCGAGTATGTAGGCAGGTTTGAGGCGGTCAATAGACACGTGGGTGTTTTTTCCTCTTATCCTGACTGCATACTTTTTTTCGTTACGGAAGACAACCTTCGTACGGGTTTTGCAGCAGGGTTTTTACCTGGTCGACTCGTATGAACACGTGGGATGTCGTGCTTAGATCTTTAAATTGGAAGGTTTTTCGCATTCCATGCCGTGACCCTTCCGTAGGTCGGACTTTATTGAACTTTTCCCGCAGTTACTTAACCATGTCGGCTGGTTCCATGTTGTTTCCGTCATTAGCTTTGTTCTCCGCGAAGAAATCGGCCGGTAAACGTATCGTGACCGTAAACTAATTCCGCGGAGGATCCGTGCAGATCTTCGCGATGCGTTGCTCTTATGCAAAGGAGGACCGTTGGGAGGATTTCAGTCCAATGATTGTTGGCACTTTATTGCAGTTTTAACTGACGGTGGAACCGTTCCACCATGCTGTTTGCGGCTGGGTGGTATGCCGTCGTTCGCAAATGTTGTGTCCCGAGCATTGCGCTGATTTGATTGAATAATCTCGATTCAAACTGTCTGCCTTGGTCGGTGGTGACGCGTACACACAGCAAACGACCGTCCTTCCACCGCGTGCCGAAACTGCTTAATCGCGGAATAAACGGCAGCAACTCTGTGTCGTAGGCGCTATACTTGCCCTGTGCCGACGACAAAGACTTCGAGTGGTCGCCACGCACCTTCCTCCTGCTGTTGCAGAGATGCCTCTATCGCGAAATCGGATGCATCCACCATAATCGTAAGATTCGCACGATTTGATGGATGTGCTAATAACGCGGCGGTCGATAGCACGTCTTTCAGCAATGTTATATGTTACAAGTTGCACGTTATACGTTATACGTTATAGGTTTCACGCTGTACGCTATACGTCATACGTTGTACGTTATACGTTATACGTTATACCTTATGCATTATACGTTATACGTTATACGTTAATCGTTATACGTTATACGTTATATGTTATACGTTTTACGTTTTACGTTATACATTACACGTTATACGTCATTCTTTATACGTTATGCATTATACGATATACGATAAATCTAACCCAAACCTAACCCATTTTTTTTTTTTTTTTTTTTACGTGGAAGAAAATCTTCGAAAGATACGCTCCCTTTCCGAAGGAGATGAGCCGGTAGTGTCGAATTTCTACCGACTAAAAACCTTCACGATGTCCTGCAATCTGTTCTTAATGGGAGATCCGGGACCGTTGATTCCTCCGGAAAACTCGAACATTGACTCTAAATTCGAGTGCTCCAGAAGCATTCTTCCTGCCGTACATAGCTGCACCAGAGCCATATCTGGTGCCGCAGCTTCACGTGGTACTTTGACGTCTTGAGGTAGGAAATAGGTTAACCTTGGGAATGTCGTCATTCTTTAGAGTTGTCGTCCTTCATTGTCATTGGCCCTACGGTGGCGGCGTGCAGTACATCTTAATTGCAGCCTGCTCCGTTTCCTTGGGTTGTTCCTTTCGCTATCTCTTTCCCTCTTTAACACTTCCTTGCAGAATTTTGTGACCGCTGTTCTTTCCGAGTCATTACCAAGGAGGGCGCCAACTAACGCTGTAGGGGATAAGTCTGGCCCAATTGCTTCAATGAGGGAGATGCGCATCTCCCTGAAATATGGGCAATCCGACACTGTATGTTGTGCAGTTTCCAAACCTGCACCGCACTCATGACTGGTTGTTCCTCAGATCCTATCTTGTTCCGGTTCACCGAAACATCCGTGAGTACCTGAGTGATTCTGTAGGTGAGTCTGTTTGTCTCCCTTTCGAACCATGCGACCCAATGTGGAAGGATTGCTCCTACTCCTCTACTTTCACCGGCCCTGTTGTTTATTAGGTCTGACACCAACTTTCTTGCACCCTTCGGAGTCGTTGCTGTCTTAGCAAGCTGTCTTAGCAAGCTGTCTTAGCAAGCTTATCATTTTCTTGCTCGTATCTAGTCCCGACTGGCGCGCGTCTCGGACCCAGAAGTAAAGATCGGCGTCGACCTCCGCAATTAAGTGAAATGGTGTAGTCCCTGCCAATGCTAGCGCAGCTACATTGGGTATGGTACGGAACGCCCTTACCATCCTCAGTTGCCATCTTTCTCTGGACATGCCGGAGGGATTGTAAACCGGATTTTGTTATACGATGGGCCCAGATCGGCGCCCCGTTAGGGTCATTGATTTTAAGACACCCACGTATAGTCGTCGTACGTGGTCATTGGGATATCCATCTCCGATATTTGGGAGTAATCAGCCCAAGTATGTGGCTAGCTCCTCGATTCTGGGAACTAGACGTCTGAAGTGTGCCTCGAAGTTGAGTCGACCATCCAGGGTAATGCCGAGATATCTCATGTCTTCCTTCACGATCGTACAGTCACCTTGAACGCAGAACCAAGGACCAAGATTGAGGTGGGCGTTTCGATCTGGGAAGGCCATGGAACCAGATGGCTTCGGTTTTCTCAGCAGCAACTTTTAGGCCTAGGCCGCGGATGTTAGTGGTTATGGCTGCAAGGGCTGTTTCCATAAGCCTAAGGGTACGCGTCCAGCTCCTTCCTCCCGCGATGATGAGGGTGTCATCGGCGTAATAAGTGACTTGTGCCTCACGGGATATAGCCGCTTCGAGCACTTGGTTGTACCCGATATTCCACAGAGTAGGACCGAGAACCGACCCCTGTGGGATACCACGTGTTATCATTCTACTGACCTGGGTTCCGCCCTCGATGATGTAAGTTATTTCTATTTGTGACTAGAAATGACATTTCTGAGGTACCTAGGTACTCCATGTGTCACGAGTGCTTTACAAATTTTGCTCCAAGGTAGGTAGTTGAAGGCATTTACAATGTCTACTGAAACGGCAACTGCCACCCCGCCTTGGGCAATTGTTTCTTGCGTGGTGGAAACCACTCTGTCGACAGCGTCAATCGTAGAACGACCAATCCGGAATCCATATTGGTCTTCCGCGATGTCAGGGCCCACATCCGACCGATAATATTATATTCTATTTGATAAGATTCGCTCCAGTATTTTCCTCATTTCATCAAGGAGGCAAACTGGTCTGAATGAAGATGGGGAGTCCGTCTGTTTCTTTCCCGGTTTCTGTACTTATGTCTCTTTGGTTGTTTTCCAGATCCGAGGGAACTTTCCTCCCTCAAGACATCCGTTAAACACCCTCCTTGCTCTGTCGTTGAGCACAACCCTCCTTGCTCTGTCGAAGTGCCAAAGCCAGGGCTCTGCCTGGGATTCCGTGCGGTCTTGGAGCGGTGTTCTTTCTGACCATCCTGGAGATTGCTCGGTCGAGTTCTTCTGTTACCGCTGGAACAGGTAGATCGTTCCGTACTGGTCTGGCTGGACTTGGCTCGTCCTCGCAGGCAGGGAATAAGACATCCAGTGCTCGTTCCAGTACGTCCGGGTTTAAAGCCTCGGTGACCGGTGGAGTTTTGGTAAGCAACTTCCCTAAGACGATTCGATATGGGCGCCCCCAGAGGTCATGATTGAGGGTTTCAGTAAGTTCGTCCCAGGCTCGAGTTTTGGCATCTTTGATTAGCTGTTGTAGATTGCTCACAGCCTCTCTGTATCTCCTGTATAGTAGTTCTTCGTTTATAATGTCACGATTTCTCATTCTGCGGGAACGCTGGAATTGACTCTGTGCTTTTATGCAGGAGTTTCGCGCAGTTTCTATCTCCGATGTCCACCAGTAAACGGATTGTCTGTATTGAGGTCGCGAACGGGGCATTGCCGTGTCACAGATGTCTGACAATGCCCGACGGAACCACTCAGCTTCCCCATCGATGTACTCGATTCGCTTCGTTGGGTCAGGCCATGCCTTGGCTAGTGCGGCCGCCGTCAACAAGTCGGCGTTCATTTTTTCATGGGGCCCTCCCGGTTATCTGTGGTGACTGTCCTTTCTCTTCCCGCGCTGTAGGGCGCAGAGATCGCGAACTAAAATTGCGTGCCTCTAAGCTGTTCGGGCTGCGAAGGCGAATGCCAATGTAGAGATGGTCGCTCAGTGTCTCTGTGTTGTCCAACACCTTCCATTCAGAGATGAGGTTTGTCGCCCCTGGGGAAGCCCATGACAAGTCCACAATGGACTCACCCGGCCACCGTATACAAGTGCTGGTGCGGCCGGAATTGAGGAGCCGGAGGTCGAGCCCAGCTTGCCCATTCTTTCACAGCATTTCCCCTAGCGTCTGTCCCGGGTGAGCCCCATAGGGTGTTCTTGGCATTAAAGTCCTCAAGTACCAGCGTGGGTTGCAAGGGGAGTTGTGCCAGGTGTCTCCTCATGTTGTCCAGAAATCTTTCGTATGTGGTCATTGGCCAACTTGGAGGGTCGTAAGTCCCTACAACGAGTAGTCTACCCCAGGAGACAGACACAAATCCGCAGCTTCGTTCCAGGATCCTAATTAAGGGGGCATTTATGGATGTTCCTCGCGCTATTGCAACAGATCCGGCACTGTCACAGACCCGATCTGGTCGGTCGGGGACACGATGACTCAGACACCACAGTAAGTCCAACGTTATACTCGGTCAGGAATTGAGCCAGGGGGTTTTGTGCTCTGGCCGAGTGGTTTACACTAGCCTGGAGAATTGTGAGGCCCATTTGAGCCGTCTTTATTGAGTGTCCATGGCCTCTTCGCGGCCGCTTTTCTCTTCATCGCCTGAACGTAACTTGTTTCCGTTCCTATGGTTGATATTACGTTTGCCGTTCGCCGGGCTACCTTGTGTTCTGTCCTTCGGTTCGTGCGCCCCTGTCCGTGCTACTCTCCTACGGATTTCCTCTATATGGTCATTTGCACATTTAGCGGAGGGGCGGCATTGACTGCTTCCCATCCTATGGTCCAAGGGCCTTCGAGCTTCTAAGCATCGAGGGCATTTTGGAGGGGCTATGCAGTTTCTGGCTAAATGGTTGCTGCCGCCGCAAGCATAACAGCAACCACTGCTGTCGATGTTGGATGCACATTGCAGTTTGACGTACCCTGTTTCAAGGCAGCAATAGCACTGCAACGGACGAGGCGGAAGTACTTCTATCTTCGCCGAGGTCCAACCGACAGTTAACCTGACTTTCATTTTCTTAGCTACTACTGCTGGACATTTTAGCCAGATAGTTCTCATGCTTCGCGGGGAGCGCTGTCGGATTGCGCCGGCTTTGATATCCGCACTGGAGCAACCGCCGACTTCTGCGACAATTGCGGCCACCTACGAGATCGTGATCGAGTCATCCACTTAGTCTGACCTCGGCCAGGACGAGATATTCTTACGTCCCCTTCACTAAGGAAAAATTGGCTGAGTCTGTTCGCGAGGTCATTGGCTTTGACCGCGTTATCGTCTCCCCGGATTTCCAATATTATTCCGCCCACTATTGATCGGCGGATACGGATATCTGCAATTCCTGTTTCCGCCAGGTTTATCCTACTCTTGGCCTTGCTCATAACTTCTATATAGGTTGTTTGGGCAACCCGGGGCTATAGTGATTTAGAGATATTAAAGTGACCGACGATCTTCTAGGGATTCTGTTTGGATGTGAAGCAGCTTAGCTATGTTTGGCTGCACCGATATTGCTCGGCTGGACCTGTGCCGCTGTGCGCCGTCTCCGGTTTCCCTTTTGTTCTTCTTTCGGGATACTGTCGTCCAATTATTGTTTGGAAGTGTATCCGCTACTTGCGCTAATCTGCTCGGTTTAAGGGCAGGCTATTCTTTAAGTGACAGAGCGAGACTGTTTGGAGGATGATCGCCCTTAATAGAAGCCAGGATGGCTTTTCCCTTGGCCTTTAGCGTTGTCTCCTTCCGGCTATTTCCTTCTCGTACCTCCTCGAAGTGCTGCGAGTTCTTCCGCAAGGTTTTTTACGACCACGACTATCTGCATAAGGAGAGCGAAATCGTCTTCCTGCCTGGTGTTCTCCTTCGCAGACGCTCTTGTGGTAACTGTCCTATTCTCCGGTTTGGGGGGAGCTTGGGCAAACCGGGGTGAACTGGGAGCGTTCCTTGAACTTGGCTTTTTAGTTAGCGAACTATCTAGAGATTTAGCTGCTGCTCCTTCCAACCTAGCGCATTTTGTCTCCAGTTCATGTGTTTTCGCCCAAATTTGCAGGTTTTCCTGCTCAAGGATGGACTCGTTGCCTGCAGATGAATTCCTTTTAAAAAACTCAGTGACACAAACGCTGTTTTGGCACTTTCCAAGATGATCGCAGCCAGACTGGGAGATGCTTTAATTCCTCGGCCTTCTCTTCATCTGTGAGCAGCTTTTTGGAGCCTTTCGACGAAAGGGGTGCTTCGAACGCAAGGTTCAGGAAGTACTCTTCTGCCTTGTCACCGTTGCTTTCCCTGGTGTGTTCAGAGTGTTCCAGCGCGAGTCTTCGCTTGTTCTCTGTCTCTTCTGGTGGTCTTTGGGCGCCTTCTTTTCTTGCTCCTAGGCCCAGGAGCGGCTTTCTTTCCCTTATTCTGGAAATCGTCATCAAATTCCGTCCCTCCCTCGGTTGAGGAGATGTTGGGGATCTCTTTGATCCTTGAACTTTGACCAGCTCTAGATGCAAGGCAGGTTTGGTCATTCACGCTGCCGCGGTTGTTCAATGACGATGCGGGGAGTCCCGCTCGACCAACCTCTCCGTACTGGGTCTGGGGGCTCCGAAACCCTCTGAAGTTTATTTCCATTTGTTTTGTCTATCATTTTTGAATTTAAAATAGATTTCTTCCCAGTTGCATTCTATGCACAGGGTCTGGGGTCCGCGCTGTGTACTGTTTCCGGGCAGTTGCGTGATGACTGTGTATTAGGGACCGGTCATCCCATTTGCACTGAGCCTGGAAGCTCTGATATTTCCTATGCCGGTAATGTGTTTCCTTTTTGCTGTTCTCTTCAGTGTTTTATCCATAACGCGAACGCACAATGTTATGCGTGATTTGATTTCCCTCATCCATTCCAGGGTATATTGTACGCTCGGTGGGTAGGCATGCATATATTACGTGGGTAGATGAACTTACCCAAGCCTGAACTCGTTCTGGCTGAACTCGTGCCTGATGCTATCGCAGGTGCTCAAAAGTTTGTAGAGTTGGAGAATAGTGTAACTCCAGGTTGGCGGAAAACGTCGGTCGGGTGTCTGTAGTTCCAGCGGGAGAGCGTATTTGGAGCACAGATCATTTTGAGGTGAATACACAACACTCTGAGACTCGCAAAATGCCTGAGCACTCTTCGTAATAGTCGCCTGGCTCGAGGCAAGCAGATGGGACCACACTTTGAACGAGTTCAGGTTTCACGAAAATTAGGGCGAAAATATCGCTGCTTACGGTACTGCGACTCACTGGGGCCTCTGTTCCAGTAGGGCCCATATACGATCCACAATTATTTTCTCTATCATCGATCAGGCATATCGGTCTGAAAGATGATGGAGAATCGTAGTTCTTCTTGCCCAGTTTAGGAATCAGCTTTAGTTCCCCCGTCTTCCAAACATTAGGAAATTTCCCTTTCATAAGGCATTCATTTAGAATCTCTTTGATTGTTTGTGGAAGTACTTTACAAACATGCACTAAAATCCTACCCGGTATACCATCAGGTGCTGTACTACGCGATTTCATTCTATCAATGGCTTTAGAGAGTTCGTTATCAGTAATTGTCGGTGAGATCTCGTCTCCAGATTCTATCCGTAAATCTCTGAATTGAGTTTGATAAGTATCAATAGGAAATAGATTGTCCAAAATATTTTGTAATACCTCCGGAGCTAACGTGATGGTGCTGGGAAGCCGAGAATCTTGCCGAGAACCGTTTTGTATGGTATACCCCACGGATCTTGGTCAATAGTCTGCATAAGCTCTTCCCATGCAGCCATTTTAGCCTTTTTTATGGCTGTTCTTAATTCAGTGGCGGTATCAAGATATATACGATTTAACCTCATTTCTTCTTGTATCGATTCAGGTCTTCTTCTTCTTGCGCGCTGTACTCTTCTCCGGGCACAAAGGCTGTTTTTCCTGAGCTCTTCTATCTCACTGTTCCACAATACGGCGTTTCTTGTAGTTGGGTGAGATTTCAGCATAGCGAAGTTGCTTATTTCACGTAGTTTCTTCTGTAATAGCGCAGCTTTCTGCTCCGCACTAGTCATTTTGTTTATTTGCGTATTCAAAGTCCATGCAGTGGCATGAATTGCTGTTATTAAGTTTTCTTCGCTCAGTTTTTTAAGCGCCCATCTCTTTAACATAGGATGCGTGCCGTCTTCTTCATGTGGGGTACTCTGCAACGACCCACATATGAGTAGCTCATTAAGTATAGATTTACTATAATATACCGGTGGTCGCTTAGAGTTTCTATTTCTTCAATAACGTTACACAATTTTATTTTAGTTATTATTCCTGGAATGGCCCAGACAAAGTCGACAACAGATTCCCCCTGCCATCGTTGACATGTGCTAATTCCTTTATCGTTCAGGAGATACATGTCCCACTCAGCTGACCATTCTATGAGTATTCTTCCCCTAACGTTGTTATTTCTGCATCCCCATGCAGTGGATTTCGCATTGAAATCTCTTGCGACCACAATATATGTTTGACTCAAAAGTTTCTGGAGCTGACTATCTACTTCATTTAACATCTGCACAAATTTTTCAATAGGCCAACTGGGCGGTGCATATATCCCGACGATATTTATGCCACCCCATTTCGCCACCACGAAATCTTGCTCATAGGCTTGCACCCGCAGCGACGACGAGGCAGAGATCCCGTTCCTATATATGGCAACTAGTCGCGATTTATCTGTTTTCCAGTCTCAAAAATTGATAGACCTGTAAGGTTCTGATATGACCGCCAACCCCACTTTCCACTCGGCCAGTGTTTGAAGTAGCAAATCCTGGGCACCGGCCGAGTGGTTTAAGTTGACTTGTAAAA